TCGATTCTCAGCGCATTTGAAAGGGCTTGTTTTGTGCGAGGCCAAATCATCCTTCCCAACACACAACCAAACATGGATGGAGAAAGTGGGTATGATGAGGTGAAGATTCACGATGGATCGCTGAGTCCGGAAGAGATTGAGGCAAGGCAGTTGGAGGGGAAATCGAGAAGAAAAATGCGAGCGACTTTTGGCGAGTAGGGGCGATTGATAGGTTGGCGGTGAAATTTCGATGGGTTTTTTGGGCTTGGAGTTTTTTGTTTTTGTTTACATTCGGAGTGTATTTCGGTTTTCCACGGACTAACAATGGCTTTAGAACATTGTAACACGATTTTTGCTGTGAAAATTGACTCACAGATCAGCTAATATTATCGAAATGGTGCCAGGAGATTGCAATTATCATAATTCGATTATCGCAATTGATGTTAGAACTCTAACAAATGCTTTTCCTTTGATTAAACTCCCTCTCCGCTGTCGCTACATCGCTACGCAAAACTAACTGCGTCTAACGTTGCCTAACTTTCCCTTCACGCGCAGATGGCCAAGTGGTTAGATCGCGAACGAAAAACGAGAGTGGGAAAGAGGAGTCGTGGGTTCGTTCCCGAGAAAATTAGTTTTGCTTTTTCTTTTCAAAATGAATTTACTTTATATAAAAGGGAAGAGACGTCCCTTTTGTCTAACATTATACGCGACATTTGCTTCAATAAAGTTCTCAAATAACCTATGGAAACATCCCTTTTTACGGCTGCTGCATGTCCCCCAGTCACAGAGCTTTGATCTGGGTGATGGGGAAGAGTGTTCATTGATTATTGGGGGAAGAGTGTGCATTATTATTGGGTTCATTGATAAATAATTGGGTTTCAACTTTTGGTCAAGTTAATCAAAAGCATTACAACTAATCATGGTTTGCTCTATGGAAAATAAAGAACAAAATCCTTGTTCAAAGCTTAGTTCGCAAAGTCAGCAAATTGTGCCTATTCTGGACTTCAGCCATTGACGCCGCAGCCTACAGCTGGCCATTGACGTGTTCTTTGTGCCCACTTTGAATCCCGTACACACCCCCTCTCTGGTGCACTCAATTCTTCCATTTCCCCTCGTAGCACCAAACAGTTGCGACCAGGAATTTAAGAGAGTACAAAGTGCATCCTCATCTTTGCATGATTATCTTGCTAAAGCCAAGGCTAGAGTCGTTTACTTTGAAACTTTGCTTTTAAATTTCCATTTCACTACAAAAATCATCTAGAATCTTGTAGTATTCGATTGTTCAAAGGAATTTCTCAGCTTCTTTACTCGAAAACTTTTTCTTGGATGTGAAACAATTCGAAACCGACCAGTGTTCGGTGGGAAATCGCAGCAGAAACGTTTAGATAGGCGGCTTCTGAAGGGTCATATGATTCGGAAAATGGGAAATTTCCCTGTCAAAAGACATCTGGATTTTATGATTCGCTGAGACAAATCAGAAAGAAGCTGATAGGTGAACGGGCACTAAGTTTACACCCTACTCTGATTATATACTATCCAAATTCCAGATTCCAAACATTTTTCAGGTTGAGAGCTGCTCTAGAAAAATCAAGAATACCTTACTGATTGCTTCTATTTTCTAGCTTCTATTTTCTAGGGCTTCTTTAGAACTTATCTAGAGCTTCCCAGAGCTTATCTAGAGCCTCTAGAGCCTCATAGAATAATTGTTACACCTAAATTTTTCGATGCGCCTAGGTATCATTTGAAGAGAGAAAATAAGTGATTTTTTGAGATATAACACATCTTTTTAACATCAACGAGCGCTTAGAAAAAATTATTAAAAGATGATAATACTCGAGTGTTGTGTTGTGTTGAGATTGTTTGAGTGGACCGCGACGCTTCTGTAGGGCTTCTGTTAGAGTATTTACTTTTTGAGTCTATTAGAGTAATATATTATAGAGAAACTCTCATTTAGCAAGAAAGGGATCAGTTGAGGGTCGACCTGAAAGAGCTACGAGAAATTCATGTAAGTTGAACAAAGTGCTCGTTCAAACACGGCAATGTTTTCATGGGGAAATGGAAAAAGCGAAAAAAACGAACTCTTAAACGCAAAATTGAGCTGTAGTTGATTACTTTGAAACTTACAACTCTAATGCAGAAGAATTGTTTTAATAGGGTAATGAAAGAAGCAGTTGAGGCTAGAAAGAAGCGATTTTAATTAAGTAAAGACGGCCTAGCACCAGTACATTAAACTCAAGGTTTTAGCTTGAAGTTAAATTACTTTGAAACGCACACTAAATATTTTGAAAATCTGTTTACTCAAAAAGCTTTTTTTGGATTTGAAACAAAACAAAAGCAATCAAAAATGACAAAAACAAAAACTCTAAAACTTTGAAAGTTTTAAACTACTTTAACATTCTAGAATTGTTTTAATGAGGAAAACTAGAGAAAAACAGTCAAATATGACTTTTTATTTTTATTTTTATATCTTTTAAACTCTTCAATTTCTAAAGATATTCAATCAAGCTGAAGAATTAAAGTAAGCTATTTTCATTCTTTCATTGTTTTGCTGAAATGAAAACCCTTTATAATACTGTTACAAGATCCAGTGCTTCAATAAATTACGATTTCACTTCGAATTCCAGGCCTTTTCAGGCAACGGTCTCCCCAATGTTCCTGGTGCCGGCGTAGAGTCTTGCCACCTCAGCAGCAGCTCACTCAGCCTCGCAAATCCCATCCCAGACACCGAATCAATCACAAACACCATCCGGACATCATTCACATATAATTCGTAGACAGGTTGGCATTTGATTCACCGTCTTCTCTCTTCTCTACGTCGGCTGGCTTTATCAAGCATCGTAGGCAAGGCTAGAATCTAGATCTTTACATTTTTTGCTTTCAACAAATCAAGTCCTGAGCCTCTGATCGTTTCTGGCTGCCTAGAAATCTGTTTGAAATCTGCAAAACTAGACAAGCAACTTCTAGAAGATAAACTGCGTAATAGCCAGCTTGGTAAGTTGAAGTCCTCCAAAAAGCGATCAATTAAATCTATGAAGGTTCTCGGAGATTTTGAGGGATGTAGATTCAGGTAGGTTTGGCTGCACTAATAGAGAGAATACAGTAGAATGCAGAGAGAAATCCACAATCAATCAATACACTGCAAAAGAAAGTCTTTCCCGTAGCAGATCGATAGCAATACAGTAAAAAGTGTCCTCCCGGGCGTAGTGCATCATTTTCTTCGGGGTTTGGTTGATTACCAAAAAAAACCTCTGGTTAGTTTGGACAGCTGGCTGGCTTTTACCTCGCCAGAATAACACCACAAGCTTTACCAGCCAGTCTAGGACAAAAGCTAGGAAGTCAGCTACATTCGTCACCACGCTACATTATCTCTGACTTCGAACGATCCATCACCCATGGTCCCATTCAATCCATAGGTATATGCTTTGAATCAATAGAATTGAGATTCAAGTCTCTAATAATAGTCTAATAGTAGTCATGGCATCCCGATGAGCCTCCCCACGCATATTTGACGGCTGTCAAACTTTTCACAGAAGCTTTACCAAGCCAACTAACCAGAATCGAACCCCTAACTCACCCCTAGAAGCTTTTCGATGCAGTTTTTTCACGCTGATTCCGAATCTCTAATTAGTTTTTTTGCAAACGCTTCTCTATCACGCTTCCCTGATGGGCGTGCACTAACCACTCGATTCGGATTCGAGGGTTCGAGGGTTCGAGGGTTCGAGTCCTATAGCCTATAAGGCAATTGAATTAGATGCAAAGCTCTTAGCCAGCGCTGAGAACCGTCAACAAACTGTCATCATCCTATATTCAGACCGGTGATCAGCCAGCCATCAATATGCCATTGTTCGATATGCACGCGTATAAACACGTCAACCTCGACGTATCACCATCCGAAAATCCACAGAGACAAGATCACCGCTCAACGTGACGTCTTCACACTCAGGTAGTTGAGATTTAAAGTACAAATATGACTTTGGGAATCAGAACTACGTCAAAAGGATCCAGTATTCCATAGTAATAGTCTTTAGGGCTTTCCAGTGACTCCGCTCTCTTTTAATTGTACGAATTTATGATGATTCTGGAAAGCTGAGTGACAACAGACGATAACTGATATAAAAGTAGATGAATCCAGAAGGGGAGGGAAATGAATGAAAAGGTGATGCTGGTAAAGTGGACGACCGCTCGGGAAAGGGGGCCAAACCGCATGTGATTTGTGCTTTGGCGATTGGAAATCGTGAGTTGGTGAAATTTGAGGTAAATTCGAGGGATTTCCGTGCACCGCTTTCTTCTGTTTAATGGCATTTATTTAGACAAATCCACCCCACAGTTTTCATTCGATCAGTCCAAATTTTATTTGTTTTTGTGAGAATGCAATCATTTGATCTTTTCAAATGAAATCTTGAGTTTTTCATTGATTTCTGGACCCCATTCAATCATCATTCAATTCTAAGTTAGGAATTCGAGAAAAACAGTCAAATATGACTTTATTTTAATTTTATATCTTTTAAACTCTTCAATTCTCTAAAGATATTCAATCAAGCGTGAGATTACAGTAATCTATTTTCATTCTTTCATTGTTTTGCTGAAACGGAAATCCTTTCCCGAGAAGCGTATTTTTTTGTCCATTTCCAGTTATTCCAATCAAATTTATTCCAATTTATTCCAATTCCGATGAAGGTCCTGCCGAGTCAGGGCCATTATCCATCGTTGTCCATCGGTGTAAGCTTCATCGGACATCCTTGATAACCGCGCACAGGTAACGCTTCTAAATTGTTGGTACTTTGTTAAAATCTTCTTTTTTAGCTCACCTCATCTGAATAGGCGTTTCGGTGTTTTACCTCGAACTTGCTCACTGATTGATTTGAGCACTAACAAGCTCAGCTATGTCTTGATCTTCTTCATAGCCAGCAACCCGCATGCGTCAGTTTGTTCAGTAAAGCTTTCAAATCTGCTTTGTTAATGAACGTTCTTTTTGACGAACCGGCCCGAAGTTGCCACTTCTGTAGATTTGATTGCCTTCACGTCTCCTTCTGGAAGTCCCAGCTCAATTGCTTCCGATTCTGCGACTGAAATCAAGTGTTTGATTTGCGAAATAATTTCGTCACAAAACTTTCTCCCAATTCTGCATCAGCAGTGGATATCCTTCAACGTTGAGCCGAGCCCACTGATCGGCTTCCTCGTTCCACTTTTCGCACTCGTCTCACCTTCTCGCCTCCAGAGCCAGGCCTGATGTTTGCTTTCACGATATTTTGAGCCACAACCCTTCTTGCTCTTAATCATAATATTAAAATGTTAAAAATTAATTTTGTGTTTTTCTAAACCTTTTTCGGCCATCGTTTGCCAGCTTCCATTAAATCTTGTTCATTTTCTTTTTCTTTTCATTCATCTTATCACCGTGATTCCCTCTAAAGTGCTTGCGGAGGCTTCCTCGATCGGTGTAAGCCTTCGGACATCCTTCATATTGACACTTGAAACGCTTCTAAATTGTGGTACTTTGTTAAATTCTTCCCTTTATTAGCTCACCACATTTGAATGGGTTTAATTTTGGTGTTTGGCCGATCACTATAATTACTTGGTGAAATTTGAGGTAAATTCGAGGGATTTCCGTGCAACGCTTTCTTCTGTTTAATGGCATTTATTTAGACACAGTTTTCATTCGATCAGTCCAAATTTTATTTGTTTTTTTGTGAATGCAATCATTTGATCTTTTCAAAATGAAATCGCTAAATTTTCATTGATTTCTGGACCCATTCAATCATCATTCTTTTGAGAAATTACTTCTTTTATAGTAAACTTTAAATCCTAAACTTTAGTTGCACGCAGTTTTGGAATAGGGTAAAAAAAGAACAAAATGAGGGCGACAAAATGAGGCATCATTTTGACAGACAGAATGAGAAAATAATGAGATTCAAGAAAAACAAAATATTCACAGCAGAATACGGCCAAATAAAGACATCCATAGAAACTAATACCTAAACAAAGTGAAAATAAAAAAATTGGCACATATTTTGAAAGTTTAAACTTTTTCTTTACAAGAATCATTTTTTTCGGTGTTTTCTCGGGGTCTATTTTTGAGCTGAAAGAGGAAATTCGTTACATTTTTGAAAAATTGTCATTTTCTTAAACTAATACTTTGTAAGTCAAACGATTTGAACTGAAATTTACTGCACAAGACTTGTACTACAAGCCCTAAAAGGGTAAAACTAATAAAAACCAGTTCTTTCTTTGAGTTACAAGCTTGTTTAAATAAATCTTGAGTTATACATCTAGTCCTTGAAATTTAAATTTAAACCCCAACCTTTGGAAATCCGTGTCATATTGTAACTATTTTTATTTGAAAATTGTAATCTACAGAACAATAAAATTTGATTGCCATGAAAAGAACACCTCACTTTTCACTGATGCAATCGTCGATCACATTCACACATTCACACGTGACAATGTCCTCAAACGGTGTATTCTTTGAGAACGAATTTCATCGCAAGAAGTCCTCGCGTACTCATTCGTGAATTTTCCCCATTCGAGTTTCCCTTCGCTATTCACCGAAAAAATGGAGAAGGTCTTGGATTTGTCAGATATTATAGTTTAAAACAAGGTGAAAACTTTAACTTAGAAAAGTAAAAGCAATTCTTGTTGAAGAATTTCTCAAATGGGTCAGTTTTTACGCGCCAGTATAACGCGACTATAAATTTATTTTCCATTTGAGCGAGCACTCCTCCTGAAAATTATTTTCGGTTTTTATTATTTCTTTCCATCTAAAAGTCCCCACGTTCCTCAAAAAAAACCCTCAATATCTGAAGGATGAAGGAGACTACCCACCGACTCGTGACTGGTGGAAAAGAGACGAGACCCCAGCCGATGGAGTTTGCCCCGAAAGGGGGAAAAAGAAAGGGGGAATGGGGGGAGAGGGGAATATTCTTAAGTTGAAGAATTTCTCTAGAAAATAAAGAAAATAAAGCTATCATAACTCTTCCCTTTCGTCGTTCTCTTGCAGTCCTCTTGCAGAACTAGTTCAACTAGTTATACTCCCTCATAGCATATTCCCCTCTAAGACCTCCCCCCAAGATGACAACAGGGGAAGACCAAAAGGAATGGGAGAGGGAATATGCTATGAGCTTTAAATATGAACTAAGCAACAGGCCCGGACGAGGCATTCGCTCCTGTAGTTGCGGTGATTTCACCAATTGGAATTTGTTCAGTGACATAGCCACTCAAGAGTGTTGTTGGACAAGCTACTTGAGGTCGTTTACCGGCCATCGTTTACCAGCTTTACCGGCCATCGTTTACCAGCTTCCATTAACTTTTTCTTTTCATTCATCTTATCACCGTGATTCCCTCTAAAGTGCTTGCGGAGGCTTCATCGATCGGTGTAAGCCTTCGGACATCCTCATATTGACACTTGAAACGCTTCCTAGAAATTGTGGTACTTTGTTAAATTCTTCCTTTTATTAGCTCACCACATTTGAATGGGTTTTGATTTTGGTGTTTGGCTTGATCACTATAATTACTGAACGCCTGAAACAATGGATTGGCCTGTATTGAAGTGATTGTATACCTTTCCACATTCGGTACACTTGTATGGCTTTTCGCCCGTGTGAGATCGTTTGTGGACTTTGAGATTCTCGACGCGCCCGTATTCCTTTGAACATCCAACAACTTCACATCTGTGTGGTTTCTCTCCAGTGTGATGTCTTACGTGACCCACCAACTTGTAGTTAGCGTCGAAGGGCTTTTTGTTTCTAAAGTCCACTTGAAACTTTTAGAGTTATTAGGTTGTTGAAAAGGAAAGATAAAAAGGAAGGAAAGGCTTATTCACCTAATATTTGAGCACTTACCTCTTACAATCTTCCCACTCACAAATGTACTCAATAATTGGATTGGACATGAAATGGTTTTAACATGATCATAGAAGGGCTGAATTGGGACGATTTTGGGAATAATAACTATACACACTACCTGTTTGACAGAACTCTTTCCCCGCATGTTGCCCATTTGCATACAAACTCCTTCCATCGACCTCGATGTCGACCGTGGCAGGCTCTGCTGAGCTCTCTGGATCTTCCACCGGTGGAAGGGCGACAACAAATGCGGGAGCAGTGGAGACTGCAAATAGCTATTGAATGGGAAAATTGAAAAGATAATTCGGTATCGACCCCTAAGATTCTTGCCTACATGAGGTATAAAGTACGAATTAGTTTACCTGATCGATGTTGTTGTGATTGATGTGTTTGTCGATGACGATGTTGCTCTTGTGTTGTTTGTTGCTGAGCTTGATGTGAAGGGACCCAAAACGGACTGTAAAGGCCGAGGAGAGCACCTGGAATAAAGAATAAAAAAAACCAAATAAATCTTCAAAATAAACTATTTAATAAGCTTATTGCATTAAAGATCAAGTGTAAAAGATATTCAGCTAATTAAAAGATCAAATTGAGTGCATTAAAGAAATCTCGTGTTGAATCTCGTGTACTTGTTGAATGTTGCGATATTCCTAAATCAATTTATACAATTTATATCTGGTTTTGTTTCCATTGGAGCAGAGGGCAATGGTAATCTCTCTGGAGATTTTTCTGGAAGTCGTATGCTGGAAAGCCTTTAATGAGCCTTTAATAAGCAAAAAACAGAAAAAGGCTCGGAAATCACAACCATGGTGATATCTAGTATAAGAGCAAAAAAGGTTCAAAAATTGCTAATGAGGAGGAGATATGTTCCCGAGGGAGAATCTTAAAGTTAGAATATTGGGAGAAGGCTTATCAGATGCGAAAATCGAGAATTTTATGGGAAAAAGATTGTTTTTTGAATTCTATCGTCCATATGCAACTAAGCTTATCTCCAGTTTCTACAGAAGGCTTATCTTGAGCTTCTGCTTGAAATCCTTGTCAAAAAACGCACCCATTCTCGCGTCTGATTGTGGTCGACGAATGCCGATGGCTGGGCTGAAATTTTTACATTTTATCATTCTATTTCTTATTTAAACTACCGTAATCCATTGATTTACAATAAAATGATGATTTAATGATTTAAAGAGCTTTTTAAATGATAAGAGCTTATCTAACAAAGGCTAAGGCCCCAGCCATTGTGAGATTGCGAGATCGTTTTGCTGGCAAGAAAGTTGAATCTGCATAAAGCTAAGGCATAAATAAAGCTAAGGTTGGCTAAGCCTTAGCTAAGGCTAATCCATTTTCAATTCGATTCTTGTCTCTTTCTGTCTTTTCTACTGTTTCAAATTGTCCTACTGTAGCTTTTCTGGCAACTCTAATCAAATTTACCTATTGGAATCCCTTTGCCCAACAGTCCCTTTGTTGAAAGTGTTTTCAGAGACTTGTATAAGATTTGGAGAGGCATTGATCATCTCCTCTCCTCCAGCACTTCCACTATTCGCTGTAGCTGGTCGACTAAGTTGCTGAAAAGACTTTCAAGTTAATCAACGAGCTACGCTTCACCTGTCCAGCTGTACTCCTTTGACTCAAACTGAGCGCGGCAGCCAAAGCAGCGCTGAGCGGAATTCCAGCTAAAACGGCTGCCGCCGAAATTTTCCTCATCGTATTTTTTCGTTGATTAGCAGCAGCTTGAGCAGCAGCTTGAGCAGCAGCTTGAGCAGCAACAGCTTGAGCAGCAGCTTGAGCAGTAGCTTGAGCAGCAACAGCTTGAGCTTGCTGTAACAGCTGTAGTTGCATCCAAAGATTCATTTGGCTTGGAGCTGGATCAACAGGAACCGCTGGACGCGGAGAAATTGCATCAGTAGGTTGTTTGAGGGTCTAAAAGGATAAAACGATTATCTAGAATGGATAAAGATTGACTGATTTTGTTTAGATTTCTCTATTAATTTCTTTTTAAACTCAGAATTATCTTAAAAACCTCAGAATTTCTTTTAAAAGCTTAGAATTACTTTAGAAACCTTAGAATTATATTTTAAACCTCAGAATTATCTTTAGAAACCTCAGGATTTAACCGAAATCCAGGTGGAAGGCCAAGAGGAGCTGGAGCTGGGGCTGGAATAGATGTTGCCACAGATCCTTGTTGTATCATTTGTTGCATACGAAAAGCATCTAATCCAGTAATATTTCGAGATGAAAAATGAAATTTCTACAAATGGAATGAAATTTCTCCTATTTTATAAAAATTTCTAAACAAACTAAATCAATTTCGAAATGTTTATTGCTTGGTTTCTTTGCTTTGCTGGCTTTGAAACCTTTTTTGATCAAATTTTAGAAGAATTGGATTAAAATAGGCTTTAAAATTGCTTTTAATTATATAAAAATTGATTTAACAGTGGTCCACAAAAGGAATCCCCTATTGCCATTCAACACTAGGTTTTGTAAGGAAATCTTGTTATGGGTCGTCGGCCACTCTTGAGGCGATGAAGGTTTTTGCGGATTAAGAAAAAATGCGGCGCACTGCGGAGCAATTGAAGAGGTTGGCCACGCCCTTTTCCCGCATCCCATTTTCCCGGGGCTTAGCGATTTGGAGCTTCTTCGGCGTGTCAAGATTTTTTATTTGAGGCAATAGAATACATTTAACGTTTATAGAAGGAGAAACAAGGAGAATAATCGATCAATGGGGCATTACTTTTGTGGAGTTTTAGGGGTAATTCCACATCGATTGAAGGGATCTCAATCAAATTTATTTAACAATTAGAATTTCTAAAGTATTTTTAAATAGGAGGAATTTTTTAGGAGGAATTTTGCAAAAAAAGACTTTTGAATTACTTTTGAATGGCATTACTTTTGTGGACTATTGTATTACTTACAATAACAAGTAGAGATTCAAATTTTCTTTTAGACTTACTATTTTGAGCAGCAGCTAGAGCTTGTTGAAGTAAAAGAGCTTCTAGACTTCTCGGTTTTGCAACATTAGGCGATTGAACTTGCGGTTGTTTTAACTAAAAAAAGGAAACCAATAAAAGTGCAATAAAGTAAAATAATTACTTTCGTGGACTAAGAGCTAAAGCATGTTAGGTGACTGGATCAGATCCAGCCACAGATCTAGCTACAACTCAAGGTCCAGCTACAGATCTAGCTACAGATCAAGCTACCACTCAATATACAGCTACAGGTCTAGCTCCGACTCAATATACAGCTACAGATCTAGCCGCAGCTCAAGGTTAAGCTACAGCTCAAGGTCCAGCTACAGATCTAGCTACAGATCAAGCCACAACTCAAGGTCCAGCTACAGATCTAGCTACGACTCAAGGTCCAGCTACAGATCTAGCTACAGATCAAGGTCCAGCTACAGATCAAGCTAGAGCTCAAGGTCCTGCTACAGGTCAAGCTACGACTCAAGGTCCAGCTACAGATCTAGCTACAGATCAAGGTCCAGCTACAGATCAAGCTAGAGCTCAAGGTCCTGCTACAGGTCAAGCTACAGATCAAGGTCCAGCTACAGATCTAGCTACAGATTAAGGTCCAGCTACAGATCAAGCTAGAGCTCAAGGTCCTGCTACAGATCAAGCTCCGACTCAATATACAGCTACAGATCTAGCCGCAGCTCAAGGTTAAGCTACAGCTCAAGCTAGAGCTCAAGGTCCTGCTACAGGTCAAGCTACAGATCAAGGTTCATCCATAGATCAAGCTACGACTCAATATACAGCTACAGATCTAGCTACAGATCAAGCTAGAGCTCAAAGTCCTGCTACAGATCAAGCTAGAGCTCAAGGTCCTGCTACAGATCAAGCTAGAGCTCAAGGTCCTGCTACAGATCAAGCTACGACTCAAGGTCCAGCTACAGATCAAGCTCCGGCCCAAGGTCAAGCTAGAGATCAAGCTACAACTCAAGCTACAACTCAGATCTAGCTGCAGCTCAAGGTTAAGCTACAGCTCAAAATTCAATTCCTATTTTATTACAAATCAAACCTGAATACCGGGAAGATTGATGGGTTGCGGAGGTTGAACAGCGGCTGGTTGATTGGGGGGAGATTTGCCACCTAGACCAACCATTGGAGCTGCAGGAGTAGCTGGAAAACTTTTGTAAAACTTGAAATCTACTTTAACCTTCAAGCAAAAATTGAAAACTTCAGAAAACCAGCTAACCAAAATTTGATCCTTGCGTTCTTGCTGAAAGATGTTGATTTAAATGTTGATTCAACAAAACGACGCGAGCTTGTTGTACGCCCAAGTTGAAGAAGAATCTGGGAACAGATTGTACAATAAAGATTTTAGTTTTAAATAGATTTGTTACAGTTTGAGTTCATGGAAATTTGTTCAAATCCGTTTACGCCGTATACGCCGTTTAAAGTCACAAGGTTTTCATTTCAAGGTTCAAAGTGAAGACTGAAACCAAAAATTCAAAAGTAAAACTCAAATTTTCCCTTGTTTATTGAGTTTGGACTGAAATTTTACTCCATTTTGACCGAGCTGTGGCATTATAAAAATAGAAAACAGAAAAATCAATAAAAAATAAAAATGGACAGCACAGGCGATGAGTGTTGCTTCCTGTCCAAAAAAGGCCAACAGTCCTAGTGTCGCCTATTTAAATTATAGCCTCGTAATAAAAATCCTTGCATTATGAATGATCTGATTATTGGAGTCGGGTTTCCAACCAGGATGCCCCGCTGGCTTCGATCAATCTAGAGTATAAATTGCTTCAAACCAAAATAAATGACGGTTTGATATGCGAAAAGGAAAATGGCTGAACATTTGGAAGAAGTTTGTTCTGAGATGGGTTTTGACACAATATTTGTGACACAGAATTCCGACCGGGATTTCTTATTGGTAATCTTGGAAATTACCACCCCACTTGCACCGTTTCCGTTTGATGCACAAACGAGAATTACCGTAAATACTGTAATTGGACCATGGGGTACTATTACTATTAGATGGTGGGACACTATTAGAGGGTGGGTTTGTATTTTACACCACACTGCAAGGCGAAAAAGTCTTCCCAAACCTCCGTGACGCTCTTTCTTTTTCAAAATTAATTTGTTTTTGTATAAAAATTATTATGTGTATATTTAAATTATAAAAAGTTTCCAAATTGACTAAAAACCTGTCATTTCTAAAACGAATACTCACTCATATTAATTAGCATATGATCGACCGATTTCATTTCTTTTTTTGAGTTCAAACAACGCGGAAGCACAAATTTGACCTTCTAGGCTTCACAATCAGCTTGGTGCTTAATTGAAATGCTGCCTAATAAGAGACAACGTAGAGGAAATTGTGCGCTTTGGTGAAGTTTCCATGTGAATTATGGAAAGTTTCCAAATTGCAAAATACTGAGTTAACTGAACATAATTAAACTTTCAAGAATATTCTTCAAATATTCTTAGTGGAAGTGGAAGTAGTGGAAGTTTATACCTCTCGTCAATCACCCAACATCACTCCTCGAGATTGCCCACTCGCCCAAAAAAAACAATAAAAGCTAGCCTCAGTGACGCTCTTTCTTTTTTTAAAATTAATTTGTTTTTGTATAAAGATATTTCAATTATGGAAAGTTTCCAAATTGCACTGAAAACCTGTCATTGTTAAAACAAATACTGGGTCATATTAATTGAACATAATTAAAGTTTCAAGAATATTTTTCAAGTATTTCGAAGCAGAGTTTATGTTTGAAATAGGTCTTTGTAAATACAAAAATTTCTTAGTTAGTTATAGTGTGCTTTTTGATTTTTGAGGCGTTAAACACCTATAGTGGCTTGATCGGCTGTGATTGGGTTAAACATTCAATATCAACAGTGCCAAGGAATTCCTGCCACAATCGAGCTTCGTTTTTCGAAATGAAACCGATGATTTTATTGAAACCGATGATTCCGCATTGTTTGAATATTTTCTGCATTAACCACTTAATCCCTTAATCTACCGGTGATCATCGGAATCAGCGTAATCGGAAATTGACCGTAATCAATTAGCTTTATATTTCTCTTTCTATTTCTATCTATTTTTGCAGCTGAAACTATCTCTTGTTTCTCTCGTGGAGCGTATTTAGAGTTAGAGTTAATTGGTTCATAAATTTGGTCAATAAACGTAAACATTCGAACGTAAGACGACGCATGCAGAAGCGCTTAATTTTTTGAATAGATTTATTGCATTAATATCGCTGAGACAACTTTTTTCATAACAATGGCCGTAATTAGTTAGGTGCCAAACATGTTGGTTCCATTGCAAATAGAAAGCGAGAAATAGCGAACAAGCCTTTAAACCAGTAGACCTTTAAACCGGCTTTTTTGTATGCCCTCGTTGATTGATTTTAGGAAAGGTTCCTTCTAATTTAGATTCGTGCTCTTCCCTCGACCGCACCGTAGCTTTTGTAAAGTTACGGTGCGGTCGAGGGAAGATCACACCTAAATTCTCTGTAAAAAAGCTTCACAAAAAAGCAAGGAACTATATTTAGAAAAAGAGCAAAAGAACTATATTTAGAAAGAAAAGGAACTATATTTAGAGAGATATTTAGAGCGAAAAGGATATTTCTTAAAACTCAAATAAATGAGGCGCTGCAACCTCATCACATCTGGAGCACATCTGGGAGCACATAGGAAATTCAGGCGCCAAATCTCAAGCAAATCCTATTGAATGGAGGTGGGTTACCACTGTTGTATGAGAGGCCTTGAGTGGTTCTCCCGGTGCCCGAGTTGATTGTTTGTTGTTGGGATTCACAGGAGCTCAGTTAGGAGCGGTTTCATTAAAGTCAGCCAGTCAGCGAACAATTTGAATATCTTGAAGAAAGCTCTCATCAAGGAATGCGACGACTTAGACCCAGCTTACTTGCGCCGCACTATTGCCCAAAACAATCTGCGCTTTTCTTAAGGCCGATGGCGGTCATTTCGAAAACTTGTTTTTTGGGCCATTTGGCTTATTTATGTATTGATAAAAGAAGGCAGAGCGCTTTCTGTCTCTAATTGCAAATTCTTGTTGAAAGGCTTTCAGCTCGTCGTTCAGCTCCCGGTCATCGCGCCTAGCAAGCCTAGTTGCGACTTCCTTTTGAATGGTTGGATTTTGTCTTATATACTTGCTTTTCTTTAATTTTCTTGGCCTTCTTATTCCCAGGTTAAGGATAGCCTCTACTTTTATCTCTTGTGGACTCTTTGTTTATCATCGTGAAAACCGTTGAAAACCGTTTTGCTTTAAATTTTTCGGCCTGGCAGATGGAAACTGCCCACACCCAGTACCAGCCGAATCGTTGGGGGGCTTCTTCTTGCGCCAGTGAATTTGCGGAGTTCGACTGCAAAGTCCAATTTTGTTTGGAAGCATTGTTCTTTGGTAATGTATTTTCTGAAAAACGGTTGATTCAATCCAAAAGGGTTTGCCTGATTCAAAAGCCCTATCCTAAAAGTTGCCTTCTACGGATTCTACAGTGCAAACTGTAGAATCTAGATGATCACGATCATAACTCCGATCAGATCAAAGATTGGAAACGCAAGCCAATGGAACGCGTCAGATAAAAATTTAGCATCATTGCCACTTTTTTCTTGTGAGTAGCCAGATTGTTTCCGTTGGCCGCAAGAATCTAAAAATTTGGCTCGATAAGATAAGTAGGACTTTATACTTTACTCTAACTTTAACTCAACACCTAAGTCCTGATTTTATGGGTCGTTTTCGTCGAAAACCTTTCAATTGAGTTTATTTGAGGAAACAATGATTTTTCAGTTGCAGTTGGCAATTCCATATCAGAAACCACCGTTCTGATATTTATCGAAGCAAGAGTCGAGTAACATTAACGATTGAATAGAGAATAAAACACTTCGCATAAGGGAAAAAACATTTAGTATTCAAAAAATTAAATATCGAAAACTATCGAATATAAAAAGCCCCGATAACCCCCTCTTGAGAGCTATCGGAAAAATAAACGCCGCCGGGCTTTTTAATGTTAGGAAAGCGGCTTACTGACTCTCTACACTTATAATCAACTTTACGATAGAGTGTATCACCCAAACCATGAGTATTCAGAAAGATGGTGCTCCCGTTCAAAAAGATGGTGCTCCCACTCCCGCTGAAAAGTGTGGAAGTTTTGGGACTTTGATACCTTTTGACAATTTATGAAAATGAAGAAACAAGAAAAGCTTAAGTTGCAGAAACATAGAAATAGAGAGAAAAATAAAACTAATGGATTACGGTCAATTTCCGATATTGATTACGCTGAAATTTTACAAAAACCTCAAAGTCATGATCACCAAAGTTGAACCGGCACCGTCTTTTGGCACAATCAATAGTAGAGGAAGGAAAAGTAAACAAAGTTTCTTGTCATTTGAATTTCCTGTTCTCGGAGCAAAAGTCATCACTCAGGCATCATTGAAGGGTATGCAGAAAAAGTAATTAAAAATATTTCAGAAGAACACTCCAACTTAAAAACTGCACTAAAACGGCAAAACCCTAAACTCTTCAAGTGGTTTTTTTGAACATTTTGCCTTTTATGGACTACTTTTTTCAGTTTGTAAAATAATGACATGATTACAAATAATTCTCTAGAGGGTATTTGGACCGCTAGACAACCTGCTGAGCAGTTTATATTTCAATTTTTTAGTTCGACAATTTTGAATGGATCAAACGGCCCTTATCGAGCAATAGAACGCACGGAAAGTCGGATCTTCGACGTGTTCAACAATACTGTCAATTCTGCCGAGGATTTTGTGAGATGACTTTGGCAGTTTTAACTAGAAAGCTCAAGAGTTGACATTCTCGTTCTAGGTCTTATTTATTTCTAAGTTTTTTTTGCTACCTCGGATCCCTAGTTTTGACCCTAGACTCCAGGTTCTATGAAATGCAGTTCATAACCAGTTCATGAGTGAAGTTAAAAGAAAAATTGAAACGTGATTTCGTCATAATCTCCACAATTTTACAAGCAATTGAAATTCAGTGCTCGGCATTTAGGAGCACTAAATTTGAGTTTTCATTATTTTTTGTGTAACACAACATAACTTAGAATAAATGTTTTGACTCCGCCTATGTAATTAAAATTAGCTTAAAAATCAGATTTAAAACCAGAATGACAATCAACAAACTTTTTGCATTTGTAGCTTGAAAGGCTGTCAAGCTTGATGAAATTAGCTTCCCAACAGATTTTATAAGTTTCTTCTAATTTTAAAATCCATTTATTTCTGTTCTAAAAGGGAGCTCGTTCCTCACCCTAAAGTTCGATTTAAGCCAATGATGCTAAAATAGACTCTGTGGTATCCAACGGTCTGAAACAGGATTTAACCTGGCAAGCAAACATAACTCTTCTCTTTCTGCTCTCAAAAAAAACAATTGTCTCCGATTGAATATAATTTTTGTGAAAATCCGACGTCTTCACCAAATCATAATCAATGCCATTAGGATATTTAGAAGCGATACTCAACTTTGGCGACTCTGATGGTTTAGTTTCCTTCCTGAAAATTAAAATATCAAAAAGAAAATTTGCGCTCCGGTGATTTAATCAGTGTAGAGATTGAATCTAGTCAAAGGCAAAACAATAACTCAAAGTCCTCAAAAGCTTGAATCTGTTTGATTTTTACTTGGATTCTTGGGCAAATATTTCAAATATTTTTATATCAATTTGGACTAAATCTAATCTCTACACTATGCTATTTAAGTTAAATCAAATCCAAATCATGGTTTTTGGAACATATATGGAATGCTGACAATAAACATGAGCTGCTGTTTTTCTTACTGGTTCTTTTTGCTTCGACTTTATTTTTGACTTGACTGAGCGATTTTTAGCAAACGATGGGTTTTTAGCAAACGATGGTTTTTAGCAAACGATGGTTTTTAGCAAACGATGGTTTTTAGCAAATGATGGTTTTTGTTTCTTGATTGAGCCATTCACAAAGTTTCCGAGTGACTGGAGTCGCTTTTGCTGAAAATAAAAAGATATTATGCAAGTGTTAATTAACTGTAGCCAAGGCTGGACGAGTCGCTCATTATTTCCACTTGGTACCAAGTCGGGCCATATTTTGCAACAAGCGGGCCTCCGGAATCTCCCTAAAAGCAATATTTAATGCTTAAGGGACATTTGCCTTGGTAGTGGCCTTTCCACGACCACGAAGGTGTCTTGCTCATCAAGACAGTCAGCGCGTAAAACGGCCTCTTGTACTTGGCTTTTTCTCCTGAATAAAAATAAGGTCAAGGCGCTAAAAAGGTTTCAGGTTTAATCATTAACATCTCAAATCTCCTTTCTCCTCTATATTGCTAACAGCTTCTGATTTTTACCGTCTCCCATTCCAAAAGCAATCATCGGTTCTTTCAGTGTCAAGCCTCTAGCTTCGAGACATACTCGCCTTCCGAAATCATCACTGGTGTCAATATCCGTTTCCAGCTAAATAACATATATTAGTGGGGCTGCTTCTAACATTGAACAGTAAGCCCACCTCTAAAAAGAGCGACGTCACCATGTTCCCAAACGCGAGCCGTTTGACTTTGAGCTTGTATCTGAATACTCGTTTACTGGCTGCTAACTTGTCATACCTCGACTTTATTGCCTTGTCTGAACCTGTAACTCAAATAGTAGTACCACCGGACGTTTTTTCGGACGCAGCTTGCCGCTGTCATAACCCATCCGCCGCAATTGGTCTTCAGATTAGTTGTCCTCAAATTTTTCCTGAAAAAGAAAAGTACAACTCAACTCAACTTCTCAATCCGTCATGAGTATAACGGTCACCAAGACGAAGAGCTCTCACTCGACACCCAAAATCTGATTTCATTTGTCGTTTTCGTGAAAAACATCTTCCAATACAATTTATTCAAGAAAATACAAGAATTGAACATAACACTCGAGATTTTGCCGTTTTCGATTTGTCGTTTTTCAGCTGCAGAAGGCGGCTCCACTAATGCAGGCACCACCATTCAAATAGCCTTTTGCGAAACAACAAGTGGCGATGTTCTAAAAATGGACATTTTTGAAATTAAATGAGAAACTTGTGTCATTAATGTTAATGTTTCCAAGTAAACCCGGATCCCACCTTCTTATAATCAATCAGTAATTGCAGTAACGAGTCCGAGTTTTTCAAATTCACAATTGAACTAACCGGGCAAGATTGCATAACGGGACGGGATCAGCGTTGACCATGGAAACAGAGGCTAAAATCATTGATTTCTTTTAAATTTTGAAGCTAGACGGGCTATCTTTCTAACAAAAACTTTGAGCAATATACTACAGTTTCTTATAGACACCTTAAAAGCATTTTTTTAGTGAACCACCATCGAACCTTGCCTGTTTGAGCATTTATTTCTAACAGTAGGTACCTTTTAGGGGGCAGTTCTGGAAAAGGCCACTCTTTAGAGCTTTAGCTTAGTAAGGTTTCATTGTATTTACACTTGAACGCACCAAAGGCGAGAAGAACGGCGAAGAGAAGAGCAAGGCAAGAGGAGAGAAGACTCATTGTTTCGGTTTGAAGTTGGGAACTGGTGCCAGATGGAGGTCTTTGTAAACTGCATTGTATTTATGTGGAGCTCGATTTGGTAAGCCTCTCGACGTTCACGGCCCAAAACAGCAAAACCCGGATTTAGGGGATCGAAAAACGTCAGCTGAGAACTCACAGGGGGCGATCGTTGAAAAACTTTATGGGCAAACAGATAACGCATTCCTAAGCCGAGTTTTTGTGAAATTTTAAGGGGCGAAATTTCGGATGAAGATAAGCTCTTTTGGGTGGGCTGCTTTCAAAGAGGAAGTATGCCAAAGTCCGCTGGACACACTGTAGTTCCTAAAGAATCTAATTAAATCCTTATTAAAAATCTAAAGAATCAAAACTACGGTTCGCTCCTCGGCAAGTGAATGTGTGAATTGATTATCAATGTGAATTGATGAATTCTTTAGTTAATATTAAAAATCATTTTGCTATCATGATCCGCTTGGTAACACAATTTTTTCCTGAGTATATTTCCCGAAATTTTCTGAAATAACGGAAAAACTGCCGTAATCTCCCTTTCCTTTTGTAAAGTTGGTCAAGATCAGCCTTGCTTTGAGTACAGTGCTTAGTATTTCAAACATAAAAGTTTTTGTTGAGCCGTTATGTTTACCTCGGCAATATCACAGGCATTGATGTTTGAAGTGAAATATTATTCACGGCTATCGGATTGTTTGTAGGATCTAGAAAATCTACAGTGGCCAATGCACAATCTCAAAAAAACGTAGATTTGTAAAAGTTTCAAGTTTCATTTTCCAAGTCCAATTTTGCCAAAAAAACTTGCACACTTTTCAAACAAAACATCAATTTATCACCAAGCAACCCTTTAGGACTCAAAATTCACAGCAGACCACCCAAAACACAATTTCATTTTATTATTTTCATAAAATTGAAAAAATTTCCATCTAAAGTCCCCACGTTCCTCAAAAAAACCCCTCATTATCAGGGATGAAGGAGACTACCCACCGACTCGTGACTGGTGGAAAAGAGACGAGACCCGCCGATGGATTTTTTGCCCCGAAAGGGGAAAAAAGAAAGGGGGAATGGGGGAGAGGGGAATATTCTTGTTGAAGAATTTCTCTAGAAAATAAAGAAAATAAAGCTATCGTACTCTTCCCTTTTCGTCGTTCTCTTGCAGTTCTCTTGCAGAACTAGTTCAACTAGTTATACTCCCTCATAGCATATTCCCCTCTAAGACCTCCCCCCAAGATGACAACAGGGGGAAGACCTAAAAGGGAATGGGGGAGAGGGGAATATGCTATGAGGGAATATTTTCCCCACCAGTCTCGACTAATGAAATAGAATTTTTTGAAGCAAAGGAGAAAATGCCCCATATTCTTCCCAGTCGGGCTTTATCCGGGTTTTCTCTGAAACCTCTCGAATCTCTCAAATATTTTGCCGGTAAAAGAGAGGCTATGGTCCCTTATCTATTACCCTTCTTATACTCCCTTGTTTCTTCTTATATTTTTTGTGGGAATGAACCCTGGTGCTACCCAAAGAACTTCATTGAAGAATTTGATAAAAAATTGATACTTTCAATCCATACTTACAAAAAACAGTGCGAAACGACCACGCAAAAAATCGAAGAAGAAAATAGATAAGGCCATTTGAGCCGGTTGATGTTTTGTTTGATTTTGGTGGTTCACTAAAAAAATTTTGATGTTTGAAATACTAGGCACTGTACTCAAAGCAAGGCTGATCTTGGCCAACTTTACAAAAGGAAAGGGAGATTACGGCAGTTTTTCCGTTATTTCAGAAAATTTCGGGAAATATACTCAGGAAAAAATTTTGCCGGTAAAAGAGAGGCTAAGGTCCCTTATGTCCCTTCTTATACTCCCTCATAGCATATTCCCCTCTCCCCCATTCCCTTTTAGGTCTTCCCCCTGTTGTCATCTTGGGGGGAGGTCTTAGAGGGGAATATGCTATGAGGGAGTATAACTAGTTGAACTAGTTCTGCAAGAGAACTGCAAGAGAACGACGAAAAGGGAAGAGTACGATAGCTTTATTTTCTTTATTTTCTAGAGAAATTCTTCAACAAGAATATTCCCCTCTCCCCCATTCCCCCTTTCTTTTTTCCCCTTTCGGGGCAAAAAATCCATCGGCGGGTCTCGTCTCTTTTCCACCAGTCACGAGTCGGTGGGTAGTCTCCTTCATCCCTGATAATGAGGGTTTTTTTGAGGAACGTGCGGACTTTAGATGGAAAGAAATAAAAAACCGAAAATAATTAGAGGAGTGCTCGCTCAAATGGAAAAATAAATTTATGATCGTTATACTGGCGCGTAAAAACTGACCCATTTGAGAAATTCTTCAACAAGAATTGCTTTTACTTTTCTAAGTTAAAGTTTTCACCTTGTTTTAAACTATAATATCTGACAAATCCAAGACCTTCTCCATTTTTTCGGTGAATAGCGAAGGGAAAGTCGAATGGGGGAAATTCGCGAATGAGTATGCGAGGACTTCTGTGATGAATCGTTATCAAAGAATACACCGTTTGAGGACATTGTCACGTGTGAATGTGTGAAATGTGATCGACGATAGCATCAGTGAAAAGTGAGGCGTGCTTTTTCATGGCAATCAAATTTTATTGTTTTATGATTACAATTTTCAAATAAAAATAGTTACAATATGACACGGATTTCAAAGCAAAAACAAGTCTTTCCCGTAGCAGATCATAGCAATAGAGTAAATAGTGAGTGTCCTCCCGGGCGTAGTGCATCATTTCTGCGGGGAGTGGTCTGAAAATGAAAGGAATAACATAAACCCCAATGTTTTTCAAACCTGACACGCCAATCGGTCATCTGGAATTCCTTGAGTTGTACTTGACACAGCGTCAACAGGTACTAAATAAATGTAATTTAGCTCAACAATAAGTATCTTTGACTGGTTTTTGTAGACAAACTTGTAAGCTATGTTTTGGTAGACCCATCGACAAGCAGGAATTTGCTTGGTTTATGTTGATGGTAAGACGGCAAATCGTCCAAAACTCAATCGTTCTAATGCCAACTCGTTTCAAGGGTTTAGCTCCACGAGCTATCTAATAGTTACTATTCCATAAATTCTTATGGCTAAGTTTCTTGAATTCCTTTGTTATAGATGGATCTTCAACCAACCATGCGTTCTTTGAGATGAGCCTCACGTTCCCCAATAGAAACCGACTTTTGACAGCCCTAAATTGATTGACGATTTTAAACTCGAGGGCTTGTTGAGCTTACGTATGATTAGATTTTGTGTATTCGTTCCCATTATTCGTGCTCGTGGAGCTAAACCCTTGAAACGAGTTGGCATTAGAACGATTGAGTTTTGGACGATTTGCCGTCTTACCATCAACATAAACCAAGCAAATTCCTGCTTGTCGATGGGTCCTTTCTAAACAAGAATGCACAATTGTTTAAATACAAAAAACTGACTTCTTCAAAAGTTTCTTGCACTGATCTTCATATTTTTCGGCTTCAAATTCCTGGTCTTCGATTGCACCGTCCACATCGGGATCATAATTCTTCATCCCACGTCATCGAACCATCATCGCGCTTCGAAGCGTATTTTGTTCTAAAATCAATAAGTTTGGCATTACAAGTAGATTCTGCTCATAACGGGCCGATTCCAATGTAATAAGATGAGTATAGCCAACATGATTGCTCGCCGATGATGGGTGATTCTTGGGAGAATAGAGGCACAGGAGCTTTCTTCTAAACAAATATTTGAGAAAGCATGGAAAAACCGCAACCTTATTGCTTCCTCTGCGACGCTTGAAGATTGAATCCAACGTTCGGTTGCCTTAAAAAGAACATTTGTCAGTAAATAAAGAAAATTTACTCCAACCTTCAAGTGGCTCATTTCCTCTACAGTCAAGCTTTCACCCCGATCAATTTCGTTCGTTGCCGATCCCTCGTCAGCAACCGAGTCAGCCAAATCGTCGGGAAAGTCCATCCCTTTGCGCGTTTGCCTCTTGCGGCTGTTTGCGAATACCGTTCTAAAAAGTGAAACATTAAAAACATAATTGTGAAACGATACTTGGTTGCTGAAATGACATCACCGATCATCGTTTCATCGTCCGCGTTGAACACGACGATTCGACATGGCAATCCTTTCCTAAAATTTAATAACGAGAATAAACAGTAAAGAACAGTGAAACGATACTTGGTTGCTGAAATGACATCACCGATCATCGTTTCATCGTCCGCGTTGAACACGACTATTCGACATGGCAATCCTTTCCTAAAATTTAATAACGAGAATAAACAGTAAAAAGAACAGTGCTGATAATCGAAAATGTTGAATAAAAACAAAAAGGTTGTTGTTACTAGAGTGTCCTTGCTTGCAACTGCAACAGAAGAAACGAAAAGAGGAATTAGTCAATGTAATACGGAAAGGAGTACGGTCGCTTTGCCGCGTTTTATTCGCGACTCATGCAAAAGGAGAGGCCAAGAGATCTATCAGTGATTGGAAAATCGGATTTTGACATGAAATTTAACAAGCGCTGCCAAGGGATTAAAATTGGCATAAACCCATAAGTTGACTACTTGATTTTAAGGGGAATCTACCAAAAAGGAAATGGATTCAAAGTTCAATGAATAGCTAGCAACTGACTATCAATTACGTAAAGCAATGGTTGAGTTGAGCAAACCTAGAAATTGTGGAAATTCAGTAGCCGAAGACTTGTAGAAGCTTGCACTGTTTGTGCGCCCCGATGAATTTCCCGCAGTGTTCCTCACCATTTTGAACGATGCACTCGTCGCGTACGCGTTTCATATCTAAATTACCCAGTTAGCCCAAGAATTAGTTTGTAAAAGAATACAACAACGAGTATTATTTGAGAAAGGGAACTTGTGATCACTTTCGATGCCACTTTTGAATATAATCATTGACATATCTTTAGCTTGTATTTAGCTCTTTTCCGATCCTCGCAATGTGGTAGGTGCCGATTTTCTTTTTGCTTTCTGTCATGGTGTCACAGTCTTTCTCTTTTCTCTTGATTTCTCATGAACGAGTCTGCGTCTCGGAACGAAAACTCGCTGTCTATCAAAAGCAAAAAATGTTTTTTTGGAAAAGAATACCTAAAATTCGCTAGTATTGATCGAATATCGACATATATTCGTAAAAGCTATTGAATAATGCCAAAAGTACCAATTGCTTTCTCAACGATCCCGAATCAGTTGATAGAACTAATATTGGACAAACCGGGTCCAAAAGAGAATCTTCAACTCTTAAAAACCAATCATTATCTTCGCCATAAAGTCTTGTCTAACGGTCTATTCGGGAAACGAGCTGATAAAGCGGATTTCGATTTTATCGAAAATTCAAATTCTTTCATTGCTACTGTCACGAAGAATGAATCTTCTCACGAATTCGATCTCTTGCAACAAAAATCTTTCTCTATTTCACTTCTAGGAAACGTTACAAGCATTCGACATTTGAACTTTAATGATGGCTTTCGCGATTTGGAATTGGAAGAGGACGAGATCCGCGCCGCGCTCGAGCCCCCGCTCAAAGTTTTGCTAAAAAAAGTGAAACTTGTGGAGTGTTTGCATCTCGAACACATTATGGCAGACTGGTTGGAGCGGATCTGTGACGTATTTAACTTTAAAGTCACGGAATCCTTTGGTTGGACCCAATCTGGTCGATCCATTCCAAACATCTGGTTGTTGTGATTCTACTTTTATCTAATCTATGTACTAAAATCTTTTCATGTGTTTCAAGAATCATCAATGAAGCTTCAGAACAAGCATTACTTTATAGTTTACCAATTCAAAGATTTTTCAAAAAGTAATGCTTGTTTGCTTTAACTTTTGCGTTTTTAACTTACCATTTTCTTATAACTTGTTTTTAGCAATTCATATTAGTTGATTTAAATCATTTTTGTATTTGATATATTTGAATTTGATATCTGTCACCCTTTAGTTTCCAAAACCATTTCTTACTCTCCATGTTTCTGATCTAAGAATAATAAAAATTATATAAAATCATCAAAAAGCATAATGGCAAAATAAATCAAAAACATTTCAATCAATTTTCACAAAAAAGGACCGATAAACAGCTCGTATTTTTAAACACATTGAAGCGAACAAAAATTGTTAAAGTGTCATCAAAGATTGAATACAGAAAAGGCAAGTCACGCTATTGTACCTCACACCAAAAATTCTGGAGTTAATTGGATATTTATTTTAAATGTAGCTGAGACTCTACGCTTCATTTAAAGAGGTAGAGACCGATCGTCAAAGTTGCGGCGCAAAATGTGTCAAATCCTTCAATTTTTGTATGGGATTTGACACAGTTTGGGTCACAACTTTGAAGATCGATTTCAACTACTTCCCGGCATCGAATCAAACTGGTTTTTTTAAAAATATGGCTGAAACTACGCTACATCTAAAAAATGTAGAACCCTCCACTTAGACGCGTTTTAAGTATTGGCACCTTGCAAAAACAACAGTAAATTTAATAGTCTATTAATCACAAGAAATTTTCGAAGTGGCCTCCACTCGCTTTGATACAGGCTTCAATTCGCTTCTTTACGCGGCGGAGATAATTAGCATCTTGCCCGAAGCACGGATTCCACCCCAAACCATCAAACTTTTTGGAAACAGACCTTTTGTAGCGGCTTTTCGTTTGCGAGTGCCCTTGAGAGCTGGACTGAACAGTTGACGGTGATTTTGTGTATTTTTAGCCACTTCTAGGGTGAACCATCTGACCAGAGAACATCGTCAATGCGCCGCAGCTTGGAAAAAGCTCCCAATTTCTTGCATTTCTCCTTTCGGTTTTGCTTGGCTTGATCGGTGAGCACTTGTCTGTTTAACAGTCGATGACTTCGAAGTCCAAGCTCATTTTTCACTATTGATTGAACCGAGAAACGCGAAATTTGAAGCTATTTTTGCCATCTTGTTCAAGCTACGATCGTCTTTTCGCTCGATCCTCCTCTTGACGATCCCACGCATTTTTTGGGTGTTAACGGTCCTCTTTCGCCCTCTTTCGGGCTTGGACTGAACATATCCCCTCTTTTCATTGCTTTACGATCTTCTGGACGGTCTGGATTAATAGCAACGACAAAAAGAATATTAAAACACAAAAAAATGAGCATTAATGCTTTATAGATTGTTTAAAACTATGCCAGATGCTGCGCGCCCGTAATTTTCAGCCACCCTGTACTGTGTGATTTCATAGAACCTGGAGTCTAGGGTCAAAACTAGGGATCCGAGGTAGCAAAAAAAACTTAGAAATAAATAAGACCTAGAACGAGAATGTCAACTTGAGCTTTCTAGTTAAAACTGCCAAAGTCATCTCACAAAATCCTCGGCAGAATTGACAGTATTGTTGAACACGTCGAAGATCCGACTTTCCGTGCGTTCTATTGCTCGATAAGGGCCGTTTGATCCATTCAAAATTGTCGAACTAAAAAATTGAAATATAAACTGCTCAGCAGGTTGTCTAGCGGTCCAAATACCCTCTAGAGAATTATTTGTAATCATGTCATTATTTTACAAACTGAAAAAGTAGTCCATAAAAGGCAAAAATGTTCAAAAAAAACCACTTGAAGAGTTTAGGTTTTGCCGTTTTTAGTGCAGTTTTTAAGTTGGAGTGTTCTTCTGAAATATTTTTAATTACTTTTTCTGCATACCCTTGATGATGCCTGAGTGATGACTTTTGCTCCGAGAACAGGAAATTCAAATGACAAGAAACTTTGTTTACTTTCCTTCTCTACTATTGATTGTGCCAAAAGACGTGCCGGTTCAACTTTGGTGATCATGACTTTGAGGTTTTTGTAAAATTTAAGCGTAATCAATATCGGAAATTGACCGTAATCCATTAGTTTTATTTTTTTCTTTCTATTTCTATGCGTTTCTGCAACTTAAGCTTTCTTGTTTCTTCATTTTCATAAATTGTCAAAAGGTATCAAAGTCCCAAAACTTCCACACTTTTCAGCGGGAGTGGGAGCACCATCTTTTTGAACGGGAGCACCATCTTTCTGAATACTCATGGTTTGGGTGATACACTCTATCGTAAAGTTGATTATAAGTGTAGAGAGTCAGTAAGCCGCTTTCCTAACATTAAAAGCCCGGCGGCGTTTATTTTTTCGATAGCTCTCAAGAGGGGGTTATCGGGGCTTTTTATATTCGATAGTTTTCGATATTTAATTTTTTGAATACTAAATGTTTTTTCCTTATGCGAAGTGTTTTATTCTCTATTCAATCGTTAATGTTACTCGACTCTTGCTTTCGATAAATATCAGAACGGTGGTTTCTGATATGGAATTGCCAACTGCAACTGAAAAATCATTGTTTCCTCAAATAAACTCAATTGAAAGGTTTTCGACGAAAACGACCCATAAAATCAGGACTTAGGTGTTGAGTTAAAGTTAGAGTAAAGTATAAAGTCCTACTTATCTTATCGAGCCAAATTTTAGATTCTTGCGGCCAACGGAAACAATCTGGCTACTCACAAGAAAAAGTGGCAATGATGCTAAATTTTTATCTGACGCGTTCCATTGGCTTGCGTTTCCAATCTTTGATCTGATCGGAGTTATGACTGAATTACCTAGATTCTACAGTTTGCACTGTAGAATCCGTAGAAGGCAACTTTTAGGATAGGGCTTTTGAATCAGGCAAACCCTTTTTGGATTGAATCAACCGTTTTTCAGAAAATACATTACCAAAGAACAATTCTTCCAAACAAAATTGGACTTTGCAGTCGAACTCCGCAAATTCACTGGCGCAAGAAGAAGCCCCAACGATTCGGCTGGTACAGGTGTGGGCAGTTTCCATCTGCCAGGCCGAAAATTTAAAGCAAAACGGTTTTCAACGGTTTTCACGATGATAAACAAAGAGTCCACAAGAGATAAAAATAGAGTCATCCTTAACCTGGAAATAAAGAAGGCCAAGAAAATTAAAGAAAAGCAAGTATATAAGACAAAATCCAACCATTCAAAAAAGGAAGTCGCAAACTAGGCTTGCTAGGCGCGATGACCGGGAGCTGAACGACGAGCTGAAAGCCTTTCAACAAGAATTTGCAATTAGAGACAGAAAGCGCTCTGCCTTCTTTTTATCAATACATAAATAAGCCAAATGGCCCAAAAAACAAGTTTTCGAAATGACCGCCATCGGCCTTAAGAAAAGCGCAGATTGTTTTGGGCAATAGTGCGGCGCAAGTAAGCTGGGTCTAAGTCGTCGCATTCCTT